TACTTTGCTTTGCGAGAGCGAGCCGACGACGATCACGACGACGAAGAGCTGCTCTGGCGCACGAAGGTGAGCTTCAGAGCGACGAACGCGCGACGGGCGGCGTGTGCAGACTCTCACTCGCTTTTCTGCGTGTATGTGTGCGTGAATACGAGATGTGCGATGTGCGCACGAGTGAGAGAGAGCGAGAACGTCGCTCATCGGCAGCAGCAGGCATGCACATACACACGGAGAGAAAAGCACACGGCCAGTCGTATCGGCAGCAGCAGCAGCAGCAGCGGCAACAGTAAGCGTGGAGAGAGAGAGTACATATAGGAGCGATGGCGGAAAAGGGGGTATGTACTACGTATATATACTCTGTGGCGCGCGCGCGTGGGCGGCAAGGTCGGCGGCGGCAGCGGCAGCGCAACCCGTCGATGCCACCGTCGAGTCTCGTGTGCCCTTACACATACATATCCTAAAACGAGTTTATAATCCTTCTCGATGCGCCTTCGATTGTTTCGCGTGGCGCGCAAATTCGCTCGCGCGACACTTTCATTCGTTCGACCAACGCGCGTATACGTTGCAATTCGAATGCGTTCGGACTTTTAGAATTTCTACCCTCGAGACGTCCTTCTTTTTTTTAAATGCATATCGATGCGACGCGGCTGATCTTTGAGCTCCGATATTTTTGTCCCCGGCCCGCGCGCAGATGCAATCGTGTCGCGTAATGACCGGGCCTGCGCGAGAGCCGATCTGCGAGTGAAAATTGCCGCGATGTCATGATCGAGCCGCCCTATGTAATTAGCCATTTGAGATGCGGCACTGTATCAAAAAATGTTAAATATATACTAATCTCGCACGAGCAGTTTTGGGCAAATATAACACATTGCTCGCGATCCGTGAGGCGCGCGCAGCTTTTATTATTATTATGCAGCTCGTCAACGAGGCAGCGAGAAAAAGACGAAAAAAAGAAGAGGAGCTAAAAAAAGAATTAAAGCGACGCAAAATCGCCTGTTCATCGATGTGTATATGCGGCAGAGAGCACACTTGTGCCTTGGCATTTATGCAAAATAGCCCTTGAGGCTCCAAACGTGTAGCCGCTCTCTGCCTCACTCTCTCGCTCTCTTTCACTCGATTTTGCTTTCTTTCTCTCTCTCTTTCTCCGCACGCGTTTACTCGTATAATATAAGCTATCCATTTATCTATCCATCTTTCTCGATGAGTCAATAAGGAAAAGGGCTCAAAGTGAGAAACTAGCCAGGTATAAAGGAGCTGTGCTGGCGGGGTCTCGAAGACACACGAGCAGGGGTCAAGCGAAGAGAGAGAGAAGAAAGCTCACGTCGCTCGGAAGGAAGGAAGAACGAAAGGAAACGGAGGAGGTCAGGAAGGAATCAACGCTCCGATCTGTGACTATATGCGGGGATATATAAACGGCCGGTTTAAAGAGAGAATTGACGTCTCACGTGCAGCTTTGGAATCTCTCTTTCTCTTTCTCTGTGCGCGGCAGTAGCTATTATAAAGCAACAATGTAAGATGTGTAATGCGCAGGCAGAGAGAAGAAAAGGACCGTATTATATATACGATGGCAGCTCGGCGAGCGCAAGGATACTTTGAAGACCGCACGTGGCGCTCGGCAACGTCACACTGACGCTCGGGGCTAGAGACGATCAGCGTCGGACGGCGCGCGCGCGCGCGCACCAGCGAGTGAGTAAGAGAGAGAAAGGGACTACTCCCCCCTGAAGCATCGAGGCTAGCTATCTCGCTCTTGCCGGCAGCGGACCGCCTCCTCTGACGCGCGACCGGCCCCCTACGAACGCCACTATACTCTGCTCTGCTCCGCGCGCGGCGGCGGCGACCCACGACACCCCTCGAGGGCGCACGCGCAGCCGGCAATCGATGCTCCCTTACCAGCCGCCACCCTGACTGCCTCGCGCTGCTGCTGCTGCTGCTTCTATACTACACCCCTTGATTCCCCTTTCCGCCCTGCGACGAGCCTCGCTTCCTACCACCCTCGGCTTCCTTTGATCGACTCCCACCACCGACCCGTCTACCCCTACTATCCCACAAACCCCTCCGTGCATTTTGCCGGACGCGACGAGGGTGACTTTCTGCTCTCTCTCTCTCTCTCACTCGGCGAACCCCTTCGCTTCTTTCTCCTCAATCGAGCTCGCGTAGTGTCAAGTATGAAACTCAGAGAAGCTCACAGCATTATATTGCCAAAGGCTTGAATTTTTTGCACAAATTTAACATTTTCATTCGATTACCAGTTATTTTTGTGCAACTACGTGCTCGACTTTCGGCGAGCGCCATGCTCTATGGCTTCCGCGATTAACCAACTAGAAAGTTCATGATATCGCGAGCAATCGATTGTTTTGAGTTCTGTATCACGCATTTTCCAGCTTCCGTGTGTAATTGCAAGTATTTTTCGATAATACTACTTGATCACTGCCACTGAAGATTTTATATCTTGTACTCACTTTATAGAAGCAAATAAATTTTATAGATAAGAAAATTACCAAAATTAAAAGAAACATCAACCGTTTACCTGATAATATGATTTTCAAACAAAATGAGACCACGCATAACTATATTCCGTCACACTTTCACTTGGGATCCTAAAACAGATAGCTTAAATAAATAATCTCCGATTGTTTTTATTAGTTTTTGTTTAATTCGTTTATTGGTCTTTCTAATACGCATAACAGCCTCAACTTGAATTAATACTTATTTCAAGAGTAAAATTACAGAATGTTTGTATGCTTGATTTTCTCAAATTTACTTGTATTTTCGAAATAGCGTTTCAGTTTTCAAAGTTCTAAACTACTGTTGAAAATAAACCCGAACACTTAATAGAACTACTAACTACAGCTGATACACGATTACAGCTTTCTTCATAATACACCTTCACTAATTGAACCACGCGTTTCGAATGCGACATCTATTGATGAATTAATAAATCTATTTTTTAGCGAGGCTGGCCGACGTCTCAGGGGCTGTAAATTTTTCATACTTCTTGGATCCTCGCTTTCACCCCTCAAAAAGTTAAATCGAATCTATAGAAAAATAAAGTAAAAAACCTAAAATTCACAAAAAAGGCTTTCCTTTGCGAATCTTGGTTTGTACTAGAATCAATTCGACGAGTTAAAATTAGTCGTCCTACCTTATTCTGAAAAACCTATTTTCACAATTCAAAAATTTTTCTCTTTATCTCTCTACTCTTTTTATTTTTAATTTGTTTTGTTTCTTTACATTTTTTTCGTTTTTCAAATAAAAATTCGCAACAATTAAAAGTATCCTCTCTTAAAATAATGATGACCCTAAAAGTGAAGCCAATCTATTCGGCTTCTAATTGGTCGACGGACTTGTGACTCCAGTCGGAACATAATAATGTGACATCTACGGTCAAAATAGCAACTTTTTCGAAACTGACTGAAAAATGTACGCGCGCTAAGCGCGCCTGAAAGTTACTATAGTAACGATAAAAATATCAAAGATCAATTCAAGTCATAGATTAAAAAAAAAACGAAATCAACATAGTTGATTCTCAACAAAAATCATCGATCGCTCTTCCCATATATTTGAGGAAAAAATTCTCAGATTTCTTATAAAAAATATATCTGATGATTCGGCTACCGTCAAGTGCGTAGCGAAGGAAATAAAATTGCGAGCAAACAATCTCAAGAAAATCTGACACTACACGGAGAGCTGCGGCAATATTTTTCTATCGAATTAAGCGCGAGGCTCTCGATGCGTGAAATATTGAGCTCATAAGCTACGAGCCGAGGTCAAAGCATCCTCATTCACGTTCTCTAAGTCTTTCTCTCGCTCTCGCAATATATAGACGCAGGGCAGTTATAGAAAGTCCATAACATAAAGTTTGCGGTCTGCGCGCCACGCCTTACGTGATGCGGAATCATCGGATCGGATTTGCCAGCGATCCAAGTGTAGCGAGAGAAAAACGGCAGCAGCGATAGCCAGCACGGACCATCGTCTCGTTATACTAAATGCTCGGACGTGAAAAAGCATCGTGTAAGTAGCGATGAATGCGATTATAATGATTCTGAGATGGTCCGGTACTACACACAGAGTACACATGCATTGCACAGACACATTTCTCACGAAGCTAATCTCGATGAGATGTGTTTGTTATCGTTTCTCATCGTCGAACGCCTTGGCGCTCGATCGAGTCGTGCAATTTTTAGCACAATTCATCACACAACAAACACACACAACCGTTACGTGGGCTTTCATATCTCTAGCTCTATGAGCATTGTTAAGTACTTTGTATAACAAAGCTTCTGACCCCGAACGTCAAAACGGCGAAATGCACGCCATGCTCGGACTTGATTTAAACATTCTCTCTTTAATCTGATTCGTTTTGAAGGAAAGTGATAAAATTATGCGCTTCAAAACTTGATCGCGCATAAAAAATTTAGATGTTGAGAGGGAGAGAGAGAGAGAGAGAGAGAGGAGGGAAGGAAGGGCTACTTTGCTCTTCACGTTTTCGCAGCTCTTATCGGACTGAGAGATCGCAAATTCCAGTCTCTCTCTCTCTCTCTCTCTCTCTCTTACTCTCAGTTATACGGATGAACACTGCCGAGCATATAGCTCTATTGCGCGTGTATAAGAGCCCGGTACCTGTATAGTCTCGGCACACGAAGATGCCCGCGAGGGTATCACAATGCCCCTCTTTTTGCGTGCTCGCAGCTTGTCGCAGTTGCGTTGGTTACCGCCTCGCCTCGCCGAGAGAGAATCCCCGTGACTTGTATCCGATTTTCAGCTGATGTATGCTGTAATTAATGTCACCCTAAATCTCCAAACTCCGCCGTCAATGATGTTATTTATTTCCAATGTCGTGGCTTTTTTATGACACCAAAGTGATTTGAGACCACGAGCACATTTTTTTCAAATTTATTTTGGATAAAAAAAAGTGAAAAATTAAGACTCGCAAAATTTAAGAAAAATAGGTTTACATTTAATTTTAAAATTATGATACGTGATTATAAATTATTTTTTTTGCTATATCCAACTTATTTCGCGTGTTCCAAAATCCAGTCGACGAACTCGGGAACGCGAGTGTAAACTCCCGGATAGATGGTGCTGGCGCAGTAGGGATCTTTGACGGACCAGGACACGATACCGGTTAGTTTTCCACTGACCATGAGTGGACCGCCGGAGTCACCCTGTGCAAATCGTTGCGCAAATTATAACACATGGTTTTTTGAAGACTTTTGCGAAAAAAATCTCTCGAATAAATTACTCACGTTGCACTGTCCTTTCCTCATGGTAGGATCGTTGGCACAGATCTGGGTCGGGAATATTTCCTCGTTCTCTTGTATCATTACTTTTTTACAGTACTCTTGGTCGGCGATGCGAATAGTGGCTTTTTGTAGTGTATTCGGAAGGCCTTGAATTTCCTTTGGTAGAAAGAGTATCGCTTACGATTTTATATCAATCGTAGTTAAAATATTTAGGCAATACTTACGCCTCCGCGTCCTCCCCATCCTGATACGGTTGCTTTTGAGTTGGCCAGAATTTTCGTATGCAGTTCAGGTAAGGGCACGGGTTGCACGCGATCAGAGAACACGAAAGGCTCTGTTACCTGTATGGTCAATTAGTTCGTGTATATTATTGAGAAAAAAACAATCAAAAATTTTTTAAATCATATTTGATCTCGTCACTAACCTTAATTAGTGCAACGTCATTTTTCAGACTTTTAGAGGGATTAAATCCTTTATGAACTATAACTTTCTGAACTTTGTGCGTTTGGTAAGGTTTATCCAAATAAATACTTCCAACCTCTACTCTCATCTTTTTTGAATCTTCTTCGTCTTGTCTACTGAAATGTATTATATACAAGCTCAATGAAAAAGATAATGTAATAATGAAAATTGGTAGTTAAAACTTTCGTTCAAGCCGCCTACCCATAGACGCAATGTGCTGCTGTGACCACATAATTTTCATTCAAAACTGATCCACCACAAAAATGCCTCGATTGACCCGAACTCAAGTCCCTCAACGACACCTTTTATGAAAAAAAATTATTGCAATTTTACGACCGAAATGATATTTTCATGGATCTCGCGTTAGTGTGTTTCTTACCTGGAATGGAATTTCGCCGAGCTTCGCATCGGTCCCGTTGACGACTCTGGTTACATAAAAACTTCTGACCTGCGAAACGGTCAACAGACACAAAGCGCACACGAGAAGCCACTTCATATTTACGCGACGAAACTCTTTTGCAAACTGGCTGCTCGGTAGGCTCGTCGTCTCGAAGTAGTATTTATTTAGTTCCAATGCAAAAGCCACATTTCGATCGAGCTCGAGATTAGATAGTGATGTACAACCGGACGCATATTCGATACAAACGATGAAAGATTAAGGATCTCGAGAATCACTATTATCAATTTGATTGATGCTTGTTTATCTCGTCACCCAAAACAATGCAAGCAAAATGAAAACATTATTCTGCAATATTTGGCGCCTTTGGAATCATAAAACACGTTCGAATTACTTTTCGTAAGCAGTCTTCCAAAAATAAATTTCATTATCGAAATATTGTAAATCAAACAATTCTAAACAGTTACGTAAAAAGTAATAATTGAAATGTGGCACAATTGTTGAAATTGATTGTGTATAAATAAATCAGTGTTATCATCAAGCTGTGACCCTTTTACGTATCATCGACGAGTTTAAAAATGGACAACATTTTATGCAAATCATTGCTTACAAAAATAGAGAGGCAAAATTTGCTGGCAGAGATTAATCAATTGTAGCATCGTAAGACGTACTCGCTGCAACTTTCGCTCTGAAATCTGTACGGTGAGTATAGTACGTGCAGTATCTATTATCTATTATTAAGATAGACATTGTGCTTGCGCGTAGTGAACACAAAAAAAATGTCTAGATGTATGCGGGACGTGCGTGGTATAGCGAGCCAGCCTACCCACGGTGCGTAACTAACTGAGCGTGCAGCGTGAACAATTCCCTCTCTCGAGCTCTTCTTTTTTGGGCTGTCCTGCGCTGCTGCCTCGCGCGGTATAGCGCGCGGTGGTCTCCAAAATGTGCATCAGCAGCAGCAGCAGCAGCCCTGGCGCGCGTAATCCTGCGGTAAAAGATGTTTTGAGAGATGGATTCGCCACGCGCTTAAGTCAACAGGCAGCAGAAATACAGACAGCGTGCGCGGCCTCTTGAACGAAACAACGCACGTGAGCGTATCTGTAGCCCTTACCCAAGCGATGCCCGCAGGACTCTATGTATGTGCGGCAGGATATTTTTCCAAGCATTAATTGATACAGCAGCGATTGTGCATTGACGATTTTTCCCTTTGGCTGTATGTAAGCGCGTATGTGCGTGTGTAGTTTTTTTTTCGGGGCAATACACGTGGGAGACTTTTTGATAGAATGAAAGGATTTGCGGTCCTTGGACGTACACATCCCGATTCTCGGAGAGAACGAGAGGTGATCCATATTATAGACGGATCGATCGCCTGGACAATGAACGCGCTTAGTGCTCGCTGTCAATGGAATGCACCGATCGCGTTAGATTAAGTTGTCTGTAGGACAATATTGGATTCTCTTCTTCGTCTTTTCTGCTCCATCTTCTGTGTCTTCTTCTTTTTTTACCTGAAAATGTATGTATGCTGTAGTATAGGGATCTTTCAAGAGGATACGTGTAATGCAAGCAAACGTAACCAATCGATCGACAAAAATTGGCCGAAGGCTTCATCGCGAGTTGCTATATTTATCTGCAGCCAATAAAGCCCATCGAAAAATCAAGTACATTTTTTCACATGCTTTCCAGGCCTATTTTATTTATTTTGTTTTTCACTTTATCCAATGTGTCGCTTGGTATTAACTACGGTAGCTGAAAAGTTTGCATCCAATGTGTAGCGCAAGAGAAATACACGTATTGTACATCTCAGAAACTTGATATCACGGGGCAAGACGAGTCGATATATACTACAACGTAAGCCACTGCGCATATACGAGCCAACGCGTACACGTGCATGCTCGCTATTCGTCGCCAAGTTAGGTCATCTTCTAAGATAATTAGGTAATTAGGATAAGACAGTCAACGGCGAGAAGCGGAGCCTGGATTGGCTCGTCGGCGAGAGCTGGAGAAGCTCGAGCATGTCGAGCTGCGCAGGGCATACGTGCATGCGGCGTTATAGTACAGTCGAGTTACCGGTCGAATAAACACACATACATGCTATACCTACGGCTAGACTGCGCACGTATGTGCCTATGTATAGATGTTATACGTATACACATACGCATGCTGCTGCTGCTGCGGCCTGAGCGCGCCGAGAGATTGCACTCGAGTGAGTGCCGAGATGAGGAGGAGACGCTCAGGGGATATCTTGCTCGTGGGCCCGTGCAATTAAACTAGTAATTCCAAACTTACAGCCTCTGCACTATTGCAACTCTCTCTCTCTCTCTTCTTGGAACCTTGGCAAGTGAGAGAGAGAGAACGTGCACATCAGAGTGTAATGGCGTGGCAGTTTAATTGCATTATGCATGGTACGAGTTAGCGAGCGACGTGTTCTATCTTAACAAAATGGATTATAGCTTCCGGCTTCTTGTCTCTCTCTCTCTTTCCTTCAATATGCAAGTGTGTGTATATCGTATGAGTACGTATGCAGTGCTACCCGCTGCCTAGACGAAGCATCACATGACCTGTAAGACGATGCTTCGATTGTCTTTAGGAAATTTCCCGAGAATATGTGTCTCGGGCTCCGAGCCCTGGCGCATATTCCTACGCGCACTTTGGCTTTTAGTTAGATTGCTTGTTAATTGAGCGAATACGTCTCGCGTGTGCCCGCGCCCGTCATGTATGTAGCTGTGCTTCAGAATTACACTGTGGTCGAGATTTCAGCTTTCGAAATTCATTAAAATTACCATTGGACAATTAATAGAGAACAGAGAAAGAGGCATAGGGACAAATTAAGCTCGAGGAGCTTTTGTGATACTTTGAGCGAGCTTTATTTTTGCATGAGGCATATCATGCAGAAGAGTTCTTACAATAAAAAAGTATTATTACTTCTTAAAGGTCACACAAATTAATAGGAAGTTTCCTCTTGAGTTTCAGTTTTATTAAAAAAATTCATTAGGCGGCGAGCTTCGGATTTAACCACTAGATGTCATTATCGATTCCAAACGTGAAAAAATGAAGTTTGGTCCATATATACCGGTAAACTCGACCATGTACAAATCTCCTTCCGCATTTATCACACGTTTGTTGTTATAAAAATCATTATCAGTGAACGCATCTCGGCCCAAAAATACTAAAATCCTAGCACCTGCCTATTTCTTGACTGCGTTAAGATTAGAATCTAATGGACTAGTTAAACACCAAAGTATCAGGGGAAACTATAGATATCTAAATGCTATCGCAGCGCCTCTATGCTTGTGTGCTTGTCCGTAAGAACCTAGGCAGATTAGTAAAATGCCAATTCACTCATCTACCAAAGTTCTTTTAAGAAAATACATTGGGAATATAGAGGTGCTGCAGTATCGTTTAGTTTCCAATAGAGTGTACGCAAAGAAACTGAAACTCACAGAGTAAATTTTTCTAGTTAATCAAGTTCGGTGAAAGTCCATGCTGCATCTGCTTAATTTTTTGATAAAAATTTTTTAACAGAAATTGGTAGCAAATTCAAGGTTTATCACTCACTACATTATGTATTCAATTTTACTAAAATAAGTATTATTAACAGGTTTCTTTTCTCAGTACAAAAATTTCAAGAAAAATATATGTTAGTTTAATAAATAATGTTTAATTTTGGATAAAAGTCATATAAAAAATTTTATATGTTTGCCTTTTTGTATTATAAAAATATTATTGTCATTAGTTTTTAGTCCTCGCGTATCTACTTTTTAAATTGGATTTTAAAAGTAATAATACCTAATTCAAATTGAAAATCAAAGTTTAATCGAAAGAGCAAGTGAGCAGATCCGTGAAAAATATGTTGGAATTAAATTTTAAAGAAAATTAATATTGATTCGACGCGACTAGGTGTCAATTATTAATGTCATAATTATAAGATTAAATATTCTATTCTTATTATTAATTCTAAGGCTCATTAGGACTTTTTATGATTGAAAATACTATTTAATCAATTTATTATTCCATTCAAGTATTATAAAAAGGATGAGCTCGGGTATCTAACCCGGAACTTTAAACCGAATCATTTTGAAATAGTCGAGATTAAACGTGATACAACTGAGTTTGAGAATACGCTATGATACTTTTTTATCTTTAAAAGTGCATTGATTTTGTGATTGAAAAACGTTTCGATGACGAATCCAATATCGATTCAGTGATAAGCTTCAAATGACTCAAGCTCATTAAAATTATCGCAGATAATTCGCAAAAACGATTAACTGGCGTAAATGCAACACGTAGTTTTACTTTCACTCATACTTAAGTCAAAAAAATGTCCACTAATGAAAAAAAGCTGATTGGCTTTGAAACTCTTAATTCGTGGTGAAAGATTTGTCTTAAGGCTTGTTTAATTATTTCGATTGCCCGAGGCTTACTAAAAATCGCAATATATGTCCTACGTGCACGTTTGACTTATGGTATTTTTTCAAAATTCAAGATTTACGCGATGTCGTCTCATCGATTGCAGTTTTTTTCAAGTGCGAGGTTTACATTTACGTATTGAATGTGCCGTGCTTAAAATATCTGTAATATATTCATGTTAAGATATTACTGTAGCCTTATTATAGGAAATTACTGCTATATATGCGTGCGTATTTTCTTGACTGCGTTGCACAGGTATATTATTTTATAATACGTCGGATAAAAAAACATATTATAAGAAAGATAAAGTGAATTTCTTAAGTACTACTAGGTTCTATTAGAGGTTGAAAGATATTAAAATGAAATTCGATTTTAAGAATATTTTTTCACTTACTACAATATAGAACAATTTTTATTCGATACAATAGTAATTTTGGTAAAATTTGACAAAATCATATTGACCATCTGATTTGAGGTGATTTCGTATTATTTATAGCTCAAATTTTTTTCGGCCAATAAAAAATTCCTTACAAAAAATGCCAGAATAAAATTGTTTACGAAGAAGAAATATCATTTATTCTTTGATCTAACCTGAAAATTTTTAACGCAATAATTTTACGAATATTGCTGCAATCAAAATAATTAATAGATCGAACTATTTATTATAATCCTAATAAACCATACCTACAAAAAACAATTAAAAAATCGAATATGATTGTATACATTGATATATTGAAGATAGTCGCGTTGACGCTAGATGGTGCAGAACTAAAATTATAATTCCCTTAAAAGAAGTAGGTAAGTTTAGCATATAAATACTTGATCGAACCACTAATATTCATCGTAATCCTAGCCTTCATTTATGCAATGCAAGGTTATTGTATAAAAAAAGTATTGATAGGAACGATGCTTAGAAATGTGATTTCTTTGTTTGTTGACACAATATTATGTATTGGTGAGTAAGTAAATTCAAGCATCTTCATGACGATCGTAATTTGACAATATTGTCATCAACTTTGGGAATGAACCAATAAATAAAAAAACAGGCAAGCCAATTAAGTTACCATAATTATTTATTAACTGGAAAAGCCGGTATGGTAAAGGTGACGATGCAGCTTTTAAACTGAGTTACTGGCCTCTTTTCCGCTCAATCCAAAAGTTTGCAGCAACATTCAAGAATACCTATGCAAATTTTGCTAAGACGCGATTGGGGATGACCGCATACGTTGCGGTTGAGGCCGCAGCTCTTACACTTCTTGGGATAGCATTGCTCGTATGACGGTGGATGCTCGTACGGCGGCGGTTTTTCGTTGATGACGGAATTGTAGGATGGCGGCAGGTCTACTGGATGTCGGTTGCTGGGACGAGTTGGAGTTCTAGTGGGACGCCTTCTCGTAGACCTCAAGGCGTTTGCGCTCACGATAAACGCGATGCACAGTATCGCTAGTAAAGTCCAAAATCTCATCTGAAATGTAACGACCGTTTGATCATTTATACCTTTTCTTCCTCCGCTAATTATTATATTGACACTGATGAGGATTAATTACTTTGGTTAGTCTAGGGGGATATCTAGCTGCCCAAGTTTATCTGCAACGAGCTTCCAAACGATGTATTCAACGGCAGCTGAAACGTTGAGTGAATGCTGGATTTTCCCTAAATATAGCTAAGAGTCGACTAGTTTTTAATAAAACATTGTACGTGAACCACGTCCGATTGTAAAATTTCATTATTCACTCACGACATGGTTCTTAACGAAATTTTTATTGAAATCCATTAATATGAAAATAGTATAATGTGCATTTTATTAGTTGAAGAAATATTTTTGATTCGTTTTTTTCCTTATGAAAAATTGTTAAAATTTGGAGTTATGGAAAAAAATTATTACTATTTTTTTTAAAGAATTCTGATGAATATTTGAATATTTTACAAATATATATTTCGGTCATATTATGATAGATCACAAAATGAAATTAAAATAAACTATGTATTCTTAAAGAATATACATTAAAACATAAAAACCGTATTCTGAAAATATTAAGTACATTTCTTTTTATATAAAAAAGGTCAAAACTATTCCAATCTGAAATTTCGAATCGCTTAGCCGGAAATAAAATTATTTTAAAATCTAATAATTTTTTTAGAAAGCTGCAGTGATCCGAATAATCTGAAAAAATTCAAGATTTTTTGCCTCGTTGAAGTGTTCCATCATGAGTTTTTTCAGATTTGTAGAGTCATCCTTTTGTATGTTCATCGATAGATCTGCAAATATAAGTCATATAATATATTTATAATAATAGACGATTTAACCGGAAACAGCTAACAGTTTAATAGTCGAGTAAAATTATTTGACTGCAGTGCGAAATCGTTGAATGCAGACGTACTTAACGTGTCGTCGTACGACAGAAAAGAAGTTAGCGTGTCTTGAGCGAAATGAAGCACAATACTACTAAGGCGTTCGTAACTATCGCGTCGTTTTCTTTCTCTTTCTCTCTCTCTCTCTCTTTTACTTTTCGCATGTGCATGTACGTAGCATCCACCCTCTCGGCAACCCTCAACTCGGTATGAGCTAGCTCAAGAGAGCGGACGAGAGAGAGAGTCTCTCATTAGTCGGTATTCGGCCCGAGGCAACGAATGCTGCACCACCGCTACATATATATGCAGCGTAAGTTTAATTTGTGGCGAGTCGGTATCACATACACGCGCACACACACACACACACACACACACGCACATTCATGCAAGTGCATCTCGCACACCGACTGCATATTCGATCTTGCGAGTATACGTGCTGCAATGCACATTGTGCATAAACACAAAATAGCCCTGGCAGCGGCAGCGCTGGTAGCAGCTAGAGAGGGTCCATATAGTGCTGCTGCTGCTGCTGCTGCGCTGCCAGTGAGAGGAGAGAGAATATTTATCTATGCACCGATCATCTATGAATAACGTATTTAGATGCTTGGTTGGATCGTCGAGAGAAATATTTGTTCATATATATTCGCGAGGCCATTTCACAGGCCGATATGTGATTTTATTATATGTGCACTCAACTGATTTTCCGGGAAAATATTGTACTGATTTTTCTCTAATTCAGTACGCTCATCAAATCATGTATTTTATTGAATTCATTGAATGAACGTTTTTTAACTATACATTTTATAAATGTCCATAAATAAATGGAGAATGAATGAATATCCTTATCAATCAACACTCAGATATAAATATAAATATTTTTGATATGACAGATTTTATCGAAATATGAGAGTACGCATTTGGCTTTGAAAAACGTTTAGCAAGCTTTGATGATAGACACTCATTGATTAGGAATCAATATGTGAAAAAATTTATTTCTAATTCATATAATAAAATTAATTAATTATTGATTTTGATATGAAACATTTTTAAAGAGTTCTTATCTGTAATCATCTAAATATTGTGTTAAAAATCAAAACAATTGAACACTTTCAAAGTAATTTATTAGATACAATTTTTAGCTTATCGTATAAAAATAAAAAATAATATAATATTTTTTTCTACATTAAAAGTACGTATTTAAATAAAATAGCTTAAAGCTAAAAAATACTAGGATGTACAGTTACCAAACACCTGCATTTTTTATTCTTACTTAACGGTGGTCCGTAGTACATGAAATCATGTTCAAAATGTTGTATTTTTTCACAAGCTATTTATATTCAATTCCGTGAATCAGAATGATTTCGTATATCAACAATCAGGAAAATTAAAATTTTATCATGCATAATCATCTTAGATATTGATTGCGCATATGCGTCGTCTTTTCTTCTGTCGATAAATTGTCACGTGAGCAAATACAATTGAAAATTGGATTGAAAAATTGTAGGTGATGAAATAATTAGATATGAATAACGTATTTGCAACAATATTCATTATTAACACACGAAGTGGAAAATATATTTTTTAAATTACCAGAATCGAGATCGTAGGTGTCATAAAAATTATTCTTCGCATCCTAAAAATAGTGTTTTTTCTCCTATTTTATCCCTTACATGTTTAAATGAAACATAATCATATTTGTGTAAATATTGTCTTAAATATATACATTAGTGTAAAAAGAAAAAAAATATACATAGGAACCGTACTAAATCGAGCCAAAAGTTTGAAGCTTTTTCCGAAGGGAGACAAGAGAGACGTGAGTAGAGCCGCAGGCAGCGAATCAACGCGTGAACAACCAGCACTCGCACCCACAGATCAACGCAGGGAACCGCAGTGGGTGATGCTGATGACGATGCTGAGACGATCTCTTTTTTCCTTTCTTTCTCTGGGGCTTGCCCCATACGCATAGATAGCCTTTTTTTTAAACATTTCCAATACGTTAAGTCACGCCATCACAGTCACCAAATATGCATCGTTCTCACTCTCGCAGCAAATGAAATTTCGCCTATAGCTTCTGTGTGCTTGGTCCGGAAATGAAAACAGTGGGCACTCTTATAAAAAAAGTTCGAACATCTAATTTGTATACTCTAAAAATTTCAAAAGGGTGAGTGTCGAAAGGCTATCAGCACAGTGAAAGTTATGATAACATCAATCGGTAATATCTTCGGCATGTATTTTGAAAAAAAGAAGCACAAAAGCATACTTTTCCTCGAGAACTCAACTTCGTCGATAGAGATGAATTCAAAACTGGTATAAACCGTGAAATTCGAAATTCCTGATCAGTGCAATGTGCACTATGTATACCGAGTATGTGTAAGAGAGAAATAGAGAAAGATTAGAAAAGTAAAAGAGGGACATGAGAATGAATAACAAGAAATACATGCATATTCTATGTAGTAAAGCGACAAAGAGAAAAGATAGAGTGGATAGTAGATGGCATACACACATACAGTAGTATATATATAGCAGCGTCAACGATGGAAAAATGAAAGAGATAAAAGGAGAAGGTGGGGTAAATGCAGAGAAGGTATGTACATATTCTTTCTTTCTTTCTGCGTGTATATATACTCCCGTGTCTACGTATGTAGTATATATATATATGTGTGTACGTATTTTAGAGGAGGGGATTTGGAGTAGAGAAAGAGAGAAAACAGCCTAAGGCGGGGTTTACAGCTCTCTCCTCTCTTCAGGCTTACGAATCTGGTCGCGCGTGCGATCGTCTATATGTGAGCGTATATATAGTTCTTGCAGATACACGCTTACTCACACATTTGAAACAACGTGCATACATGCAAATAAATACTTACATACCAATGTCGCCTGAACACTATGTGTAAGAAAGCAGGTAAATTTCAAGAGTATGCAATTATGTATGCTCGATACTTTGCATAAAAACACACATTCATGCGCAGTGTTATGCGCCCATTAAAATATTTTTAAATAACATTTCATATTATGTTGGTTTGCTCGGATCACACACATGTTTATCCGAAATCACGTAACTATTCATGCGCTAACGATCAGGGAATAAAAGAGGAAGTTTGGACAATTTTTAATAAAAACGTCTACCTCTATCATGACATGAAAATATGCTGATCGATTAAACTAATCATTTTTTATTGTTTATTTCCATTTTACTTATAATTTTACGTCAGCGAATACTTGGAAGTATTCTTACTTGTCACCTTTCTAGTTAGAATTTGATACAGTAATATAGTAATTACCTTCCATTACAGAACAAGTATAGTAGGTTTTAAGTTGATAATTGGTACTTGTATGATAGACTAAGCTCATACACGCTCGAATCTAATTTCATATTATCACTTGCACTTACATAAATAACAAATACTTCAATGTTTAAAATATTTGTTTGATTTAAAAGTGAAAGTATAATTTTAAAGAAGAATAGCTTATGCTTAAATAAAAGTTAATAATTTGCATTGTTAATAACTGAATTGTAGTAAGTAAATAATTACAGAAGTGAAGAAAAATTCTGCATGCAAAAGTTTAGTCATACTATAAAAAACATTATCCTTTCAAGTTGACAACCAAAAGGGCTAATGTATCATTGAATTTCTGACTACTGATACTTGCTGACTTAGAGTTGGTATTTAAATTTGGGCTCATATAAATAAAAAAAAAGCTACTACAGGAGTGTTGAGCATTAAAAATTCAAAATTCGTATTGTACAATAACAAGCTATTGGTATCATAAGCAAAATTATTACATTCTGATTATTAGCTTTTTGATTCCATCAACAGATGGAGTATAGTAAAATCGCAAGTGGCGAAACAAATTCTTATAAGTATATATACAACTTAAGTACTTATTAGTGTATAGTTTATGTTAATGAGTATTTTTACACAGTTTTATAAAAATATCTTTATTAAGAGACGCAAGATACTTGAATTTTCATTGCGAATGAATGGCATACAGCAGGAGTTTTAGTCGATGATTTATCGCAACAACAGCAGGTGTCGAGAGCGTTGAACTTGCCTCGGACTCCTGAATTGAAAGAAGCACCGAGGGTATTTATAAACAAGTTAAATTGAAAAAGGCCACTCACGCTAAGAAGGACGCACGCAGCGAGCCGAGTCCTATATAAGCGCGAGTATAAGGAGCTTGCACACTGTATATTACGAGGCTCGCGCTGCAGGTTGCACACGTCGCGCGAGCTATGCGAGCCAGCCGACGAGTCTCGCGAGCCACAGGTGGCGCGTACGCCGA